TTTACCTGCCCAGTGTATTCAATTCACTTGTGACATAACCTCAACCAATTTTCAAACTGCAAGTCAGCATTGTATTGAATCTATCCAAAGCCTAGAGTCCAAAATTTGTTGAGAAGAGTAATGCACAGAAGGAGGTGGTGGTGCTTAGATATAACTAAGGTAAACATGAAAACTTGAGCTTAGAGATAGAAACTCCCTGTTGGCCTCCTGGCCATCTCGCCCATGCTATAGAATAAAAAGAAATCCTTTCATTTGCCTTAGGATTTAGGAAAGAAAGCTTTTTCACTTCCATTCTATGTTCCAGGAAATAGAAGGCCAGATGGACAGGGCTTATTCTTAACAGCTGTTCAGTAATCCCGTCCCCTCTCAGCCAGGGCCTGTGCAGAAGAGGCATGGCCTTGTTTGTACCTTCTCCAGATTCCTGTTTGTGGGCCCACCAGTTGGAACTCAGAGGCTTAGAAAAATCCTTGAAGACAGAAATTGAAAATAAACCACTGGTACCCCACAAACTGAGATGACGACAGAACTTCAAAGCCTGATGCAGGGGACAGACCGATGAGACATGGAGAGTACTGTCAGAGTGCTTAGAAATTCATGACCTGGTACTGTCCTAAGGAGAAGAAATGTGCCTGTTCCCATGCGGAACACATTGGCCCTGTAGAGCTTAAAATATTTCTCTGACTCCCTGGGAGTATGGAGGAAGAGAGTTATGGGAATGGTGTTAGGGACTGGGGGTGGGAGGGTGGATTTAAATGGACACACAAAAGGCTTGCCTCCCAGTGCAGTGGAATCTAAATAATCTGAAATAGCTCAAGCTCAAGACTTGGCATGTGCTTCTGAGCTGCCACCCACGGAACAGAGCAAGGGCTGTTACACTTGGAGATCACGCTCCTTAAAGTGAACTTGACAAGCAAGGTGGCAGAGGCTTGGTTTCAAACCATCCCGTTTGACAGTTTGCTTCAGTCAATCCAGTTTTTCCCTTGTTACCAAAACCAAATTATAGGGGAGTTTGTCTTCATAACAGTTAATATAACTTTCTTCCTTTTTGCTTAGAAAATCTGGGTTTTCTGAGATTGGGAAATATGCTTTATAGCCTCACAGGAACATAGATAAAAAAAGGAAGATGATGCTCGGTAGTGGATTCACCTTCGTAGGGCAGAGAACTTGTTAGGTGCAGGCTTAGAACTCTGCACTTAGCTGTGCTGCTTTGCTCCGGCTCCAGGGTTCATTTTCATGTGTTTTTATTTGTTTGTTAGAATTCATTTGTGCTTCTGTCCATGAACACCATCATGCTCAGCTTCCTATTTTTCTATTTTTGACAGAGATGTGCGTGCAGACCCAGGCCATGCAGATACTGGTGACTCTAACTTCCTCAGCTCAGAACACCTCACCTCTGGCCCCCAGCACAGGAAAGCAGTGTGGTCAGGAGGGGTTAAACTTCGGCTGAAGCACAGGTAAGAGGCATGGAGGTCGGTGCTGAGCACTTCAGAAAAAGAACTTGGTCAGAAAAGCCACTGAGTTGCTGGGAGAGGAGTTGGGGACAAGGGTGGTCAGAATACAGGTTGTTGAGAACAAGACAAGAGACAGAACAAGGAGGCGAGATAGAAGCTCAGAGTTTAGAAGGATGTTGATCTTATTAATGGCAGTTTCCACACAAGGTTCTAAAGAACTGTAAAGTTCCTGGGAGGTCATCCCAGAATCCCACAAATAGTTTGATATCATTTCAAAAACACGTTTATAGTTATTTTTTAAAGTACAATTTAAAACATTAAAAGTGATATGCTGATGTTTTACACTTTGGAAACAATCTGTGTGCCAACTTGTACAGCAAGACGAATTTAAATGAACTGATCTGCATTTAAAACTTCTCTGAGGAATGTCCCAAGAGTACAATATAAGCCTAACAAAGATTACCCATGTGGGTCAGATTTTGAGAGTGAATAAACCTGAGTGCTTCCCACGTGCTAGGTGTCCTGGCTTTGCATGGGCTGTCTCATTAAATTCTCACACCAGCGCCCTGTGACATTTGCACTTGTAGAATAGCATTCAGCTAGGAGGCAGTGGATTAAAATTCAGCCACTACGCTTTATTACCTCAGCATCAGCACAACACTGCCTACTTCATAGGACAACTATAGGATTCAACAAGATACGGTGTTTAAAGTACTCTGCACAGAGCCCACTCAGAACAAAAAATAGATGTTAGGTGGTGGTACAATGCTGTTGTGGATGTCATTATCTTGATCACTCTTATCATTATCACAGAAGTCTGTGTGATCTCATGAAAGACAGTATGATACAGGGAGTAAGATGGGGTTTGTGCAGTCAGACTACCTAAAATTCAAGCCTACATCCTGTCACTTACTGTAGACCCTCAGGCATATTATAGAAGCTCCCTCTACTTCCAACTGTAAAATAAGTTCACTGATCTGCCTTCTAGGGATGCTGAAAGGACTGAAAGAGCTGATCCTCGTTAAGCACTTAGGGCTGTGCCTACTATGTCGTGAGTGCAACAAATGTTACAGTAACCAGTTATCCTGATTTTAGTGTGGGAAGTTCTTTCATGTAGACATGTCAACTTGCATTACAAATAAGTAGGCTGGGCTCAGTGGCTCATGCCTCTAAGCTCAGAAATTCAAGAACAGCCTAGACAATATGGCAAAATCCTGTCTCTACAAAAATAAAAATTATCTGGGCATAGTGGCACACAAATGTGGTCACAACTATTCTGGAGGCTGAGGTGGAAGGATCACTTGAACCTGGGAGGTTGAGGCTACAGTGAGCCATGACTGAGTCACTGTGCTGTAGCCTGGGAGACAGAGCTTCAAACAAACATTATAATTCGGATTTATGCAAATCCAGATTTGCATATTTGGAGTATCCATCTTCATGGATATATACAAATATACATAAAATAATTTCTTAATTTTATATGATAAAATAACACTTATATTAGGGTGTTACATTAAAGTTCTTTGTTAGATTTCATTTGGGAAAAAAAAAGATTTAAAAGAAGTTTGAAATACTAAAGGCCTAGGGAGGCCACCTGGCTGGTGTCTGAGAGTCAGGCCAGGAATAGGGTGAGATTTGCCAATACCTTTGGCTCAAGAGATCCAGCCAGCAAGGTTGCTCCCAGGGACAAACCTAAAAAGCAGAAGTTCCAAGGCTATCACTGTTTCCTTTAGCCTCCTAGAATCTTTAAAATGTAGAGAACCAAAATTTTCTCTTTAACAAGGAGGTGTCCCTGGAGGCCAGTAGGCTAATCTAATATCAATACTAAAGTCCTCAAGGCCAGAAAGTGGTAGTTAGGGAGTTTCTGCTCCAGTCTGGAAGGAAAATGAGCAAGACCAGAACAAAATCAATGGTGATGGGACAAGAGATGACACAGATTTGGGATAAATTTAGGGAGGCAGAATAAATAGCAGACGAGGGTGGGATAAGGGAGAGAAAAACTAAAGAGTGACTGCTGAGTTTCTGGTATGAGGCACTCGAGGATATCTGTAGGGCCATTAGTCAGGACAGGGAAGGCAGGAATCTCAGAAACCAACTGGGGGTTAAGAACGTCAGCACTAGAATCACATAGACCTGGGTTTGAGCTAGAAACAATTAAAATATTTTATAAAGCAATCCCTGAAAGTTGAATGAAACAAACAAATACACAACTACTTGGTATCCTAATCATAAAGAAATCATCTTTATAACAAGCTGGGGTTGTTCTCATACTGACGGCACTATGTCTGTATGGAGAACATAAGTGAGAAGCAATTTCCTTTGTAAAAAGTCATGAGCTAGATGGTGCAGACATCACTCTTGCTCTTGGCTGGAATTTTTAATCTTCATACACTGAGAATTTTACATGTATGTATCATATCTCCACAAATACAGTCAGGTATTGCTAATGACAGGGATATATTCTGAGAAATGTGTCATTTGGCTTTTTTATTGTTGTGAACATACTAGAGTGTACCTACACAAACCTAGATGGTGTGACCTACACACCTGGCCCATTTGGTATAGCCTAGACTATAGTGGAGCTCCTAGACTGTGAACCTGAACAGCATGTTGCTATACTGAATTCCGTAGGCAATACACAATGGTAAGGATTTGTGTGTCTAAACATAGACAAAAATACCATATAAAAGGTAACATACACCTACATAGGGCACTCACCATGAAGACAGCCTGCAGGACTGGCAGTTTTCCTGGGCAAATCAGCGAGTGAGTGATGAGTGAACGTGAAGGCCATTACTAGTGTGCTGCTTTACTGTACGCTAAGGCCACGCTCAATTTATTTAAAATGTTTTTCTTCAATAATTAACATTAGCTTACTGTAAGATTTTTACTTCATAAACTTTTAAATTTTAAAAATTATTTGACTTTTATATTAACACTTAGCTTAAAACACAAACACATTAAATGGCTATATAAATATTTTCTTTTTTTATATCCTTATTCTAAAAAGCTTTTTTTCATTGATTTTTTTTTTTAACTTTTAAACATTTTTGTTAAAACCTGAGACACAAAAACACACACTAGCCTATGCCTAACAGAGCAGGATCACCAATACCACTGTCTTTTGCCTCAGTGTCTTGTCCCTCTGAAAGGTCTTCAGGGGCAGTGCATGGAGCTGAACTCTCCTGGGATATCATTGCCTTTTTCAGGAACACCTCCTGCAGAACCTGCCTGAGGCTATTTCACAGTTAACCTTTGTTTTTTTTTTGAGACCATCTTGCTGGAATGCAGTGGCGCAAACTCGGCTCACTGCAACCTCTGCCTCCCAGGTTCAAGGGATTCTCCTGCCCCAGCCTCCCAAGTAGCTGTGACTATAGGTGCACGCCATCACGCCCGGCCACTTTTTGTATTTTTAGTAGAGACGGGGTTACACCATATTGACCTGTCTGGTCTTGAACTCCTGACCTCATGATCTGTCCGCCTTGGCCTCCAAAGTGCTTTGATTACAGGCGTGAGCCACTGCACCCAGCTGCTAACTTCTTTTTTTAGTAAGTGGGAATACAGACTAAAATAATAATTAAAAGTATAATATAGCAAATACATAAGCCAGTAACACACATTTTATGATAAAGTATTATGTACATGATTGTATGTACTGTACTTTTAGATAACTGGCAGTGCAGTAGGTTTGTTTGTACCAGCATCAAAACCACGTGAGTGATGGCTACGGCTTCTGTAGGCCAGACGAATTTTTCAGCTCCGTTATAATCTTATGGAACTACCTTTATAATGTGCACTCCATTGTTGGCTGAAATGTCATTATGTGGCACATGACTGTAAATGGTAAGGCCCATGTTAGTGTACCTCCTAATTTTCCTGTTCCCCAGAAGTCTCTCTGCAGCCCAAGTGTTACTGATATGGGACTAACCTAGGAAATCGCGGAATCGTTCTCATTCAGTTACACTTAAATCCTACATCCTGTTTGTTTTGCTTTTTACTTTTTCTTTTGAAATCATTGTAGACACACAGAAAAGTTGTAAAAATAGCACAGAGATTTCCTGTACCTGTCACCCAGCATTCTTCAATGTTAACACCCTTTATAACCACAGTACAAATATCAAAACTAAGAAATCAGCACTGGTGTAATACTATTAGCTACAGACTTAACCTTATATAAACTATAAATTTTACTCAAATCTCACCATTTTTTCCCACTAATGTCGTGTTTCTGTTCTGGGATCCCACATTGTGTTCCCTTAGTCTCCTCTGATCTGTGATAGCTCCTGAGTCTTTCCTTGGCTTCTATAACCTTAACATTTTTGAAGGGCACTGGCCAGTTATTTTGTAGAATGCTTACTATTTGGGTGTATCTGATGTTTTCTCATGGTTACATTGAGGTTATGGCTTTTGACAATACCACAGAAGTGACTTTTTTTCTTCTTGCTGTCTCATATCAGGGTTACATGATATCAGTATGTTTCATTACTCCTGATGTTAACCTTGATTACTTGGTTATGGTGAAGTTGGCCAGGTTTTTCCACTTTAAAGTTACTATTTGTCCCTTAGTAATTAATAAGTAACCTTGGAAAGATAATTTTCAGGCTATGCAAATGTCCTGTTTCTCCTAAACTTTCTTCACTGATCTCGGAATCTATCGGTGTTGCCTGTGACAACTATTATTGTAATGTTCTAAATTTGATTCTATTTCTTTCATTTTTTCTATGCTTATTAATCAGAATTCTTAAAAAAAAAATAAAGGCTGTTCTTCTCCTCTACTTAATTATTCATTCATGTCAGTAAGGACTCTTTTATATTTATTTTATCCTGTGGGTTATAATTCAGTACTACTGTTATTTATTTTGTTGCTCAAATGGAGCTAGTTTTGCATATTGAGAGCTCTTTTGAGCTGGCTCTGGTCTAAGTCCCGTTTGGAAATGTGGGAAAGGATGAGGTAGTGATGTGTTGTCCTCACACATAAGACAGCAGACAGTGATGTGCTACCATCTTCTTAGGAGTCTTAGGAATGTTGAAGTGGGAGGTTGGTGGTGAGCATTGAGCAGTTCTAATTTGTGACATGTCAGGGAGACCTATACTGATTTTGGAATTGGAAAGTGCTGGGGTCATCTCATGAGCTAGCTCCAAGTCCAGTGAGTAACAGGTATGTATATTAATAGCGCCTTCATTGTAGAGAAAATAGCCAGGAAGGATTTTCTCACTTACCTGTAAGACAAAAGAAAGAAGAAAAGGCAGAAGCTCATTTTCCCAAGGTACATACAGAAGCCAGCCAAACAACCAAGTTAAACAGAGAGAGACACTTTTAGTGGCCCAGGGCTTAATATTCTCACAGATCGCATCCCACCCTTCCTTTCCTACTTAGATCCCTGGATTCTCTCTTACCTGTTGTTAGGAATTCTTATGATCTAACTTATCTTGGCAGAAACTTCTCTCTAAAATCAATCAAGCCTTGGGCTAGGGTAGCTCAATGAGTCGGTAAACAAGACTAAATGTTCTAGCTTGAAATTGAAGATTTTCCAGGCCAATGCTTTTCTCCATGAACTTCTCATTCCTTCCTTACCTTCTCCCACAAGTCATTATAAAAGTAGTCTGATCTAATTGTTAAGCATTTGCCATTATATGGGGATCTCAGATCACCGTACTGTGTGCTTCATAAAGTAAATCAAGATGAATGGACAATAGAAGCTCAGAATCTGACTTCTCTAATTCATTCTCAATTGAACGGCAAGATTAGTTCTGCTGGTGCCATCCCTTGGCAGTGAGTTCTGTCCCTGTGCTGCTGACTTAGTGTTCTCAGGACGGTACACCTTAGGAAGATGCAGTAAGATGTTGTTATAGAACCACTACTTCAGTCGACTCCCTAACTATGGGAGGCTTAAAGCAATTAGCACTTTTATAACATAGTGGCATTTTTACTTGTGGAGGAGGGCATGTGTTTAGCAGAGAAGATCATTTAAGGAGACTTCCTGATTTCAGTTTGATGCATTCTATCATCAGATAATTTTCCTTGCTTCCCTCCTCCTCTTGCCCGCAAAAGAGAATTCTGGCATTTTTAAGCTATAGGCTATTGTCCAAGATGCCAGCTCTTCTCAGGGAGTCATTAAGGGTCACTTTCTCTTCTTCCCTCTTATAGAGCAGGAATTGCATTTCAATTGGCCAATTTACAGAGGGGACTGGCATGGAGAGTCACTCCCACTTGCACTGAGCTGGGCAAGTTCAAGGCGGTTCAGGCCATCCAACTGGAGGCGCATGTAGCTGTTGGGAGGCTTTTACCATGCTGGGAGGAGCAGAAAGAGCAGTAGCAGGGCAGAATGGCTTTTTATTCCATGCCTGAATATGACATCCAATTGGCCAGAGGGTTGCTATCTGGGATGTTTCTATTTGCCGTAAGGTATGTTCAGTAATATGTAAGAATGCGATTCAGAATCGTTCGTTGCAGGATCCTCCACTGATGAGCCTTTAACAGTCTGTCTTTTTGATGTTGTGCTATATCTGTTTATAAAGAAAAATAATCAACCACCTGTTAAGTTTAAGCCTGTTTCTCTAAATTGTTATGAACATTCTCATTATTTGAGTGTCTCACATGATTTGGTGTACTATTAATATTTCTGACCGGTAAGTCTCATTTTCTCTCCTATGTATAAATACAGTCACCCTATGTTTTATGATGTGTATGTCTGGACTGGCTTTTTATCCCATTCAAGTTAACAAATGCTTTGTGCTGTGTACTTCATGCCTTTGCTTCCTCATTTCCCTGGGGAATTTTGGAGTAACCACTGCTGTTTCTTATGGGAATGGTTATGCGCCTATGTACTAGCAGCCAAGTTCTCTGTTCTCATTGCCAACATTTGTATAAAGAAAGAGAAGTTTTTATTTTATTTGACCTTCACTTATTCCTTCTCTGATGCTCTTCCTTTTTTTTTACATAGATCTGAGTTTCTGATCTATATCATTTTCCTTTTCTCTAAAGAACTTTTAATATTTCTTGCAAGGCAAGTCTGTTGGCAGCAAATTCCCTCAATTTTTGTTTACCTGAGAAAGTCTTTATTTCTTTTACTTTTAAAGAATAATTTTACAGGATCCAGAATCTATGTTGGTGGTTTTCTTTTCTCCTTTCAATACTTTCAATCTTTTACTCCACTCTCTTCTTGTTTGTATGCTTTCTGAGGAGAAGTCAGATGTAATTCTCATCTTTGCTCCCTTATAGGTGAGGTGTTTTTCCCATCTGGCTTCTTTCAGGCTTTTTGGCTATATCTTTGGTTTTCTGTAGTTTGAAACTGACATATCTAGGTATAGTTTTTCTGTTACTCATCTTGCTTGGTGTTCTTGGAGCTTCCTGGATCTGTGGTTTGGTGTCTGACATTAATTTGGGGAGATTCTCAGTCATTATTGTTTCAAGAATTTCTTTTCTTCCTTTCCCTCTTTTCATTCCGGTATTCCTATTACATGTATGTTACACCTTTTGTAGTTGTCTCTCAGTTCCTGGATATTCTGTTCTGGAACTTTCTCAGTCTTTTTTTCTCGTTGCCTTTCAGTTTTGGAGGTTTTTATTGAGGTCTCCTCAAGCACAGAGAGTCTTTCCTCGGCCGTGTCCAGCATGCATGTGTGGGGCGGGGGTATGGGAAATCTCTGTACCTTCCATTCAGCCTTGATGTGAACCTAAAACTGCTCAAAAAAAAGTCTATTTTTTAAAAAAAGACAAAAGGAACCTATGCATATATTCTAAATTTCAAAGAAAAGGTGTAGTCTTTTCATTCAACTTTGAGATTATAGTCATATATGAAAAGAGTATTGATTGAGATTGTCAGTTGCCCATTATTTAACTCCATCACAACTGAAGATTTAAATACTTCATTATATTTTCTCTTATAATTCAAATTCAGCTTTTATCCATATATAATCTTGATTTGAAATTTTCCTCCAGAATTATGCTAAATGCCAGCGCTTGCTTCTAGAGATGCCTTTACTTAAAATAGGACATGGAAAAAAACAGGTGGATTCAACAGTCATGTAATGTTCTAGCTCCCTAGCTGACTTGAGTATTAATTTTATTATTATAGGCATTCATTTTATTATTACACCATGTAAAAGGTAAAAAAGACAATATGAGCCGCTTATATTATAAAATTTGCTCATATATGTAGAGAGAAATTACAGGGCTGGTTTTTCCAGTTTTATTTGGCATTCTTTCATCTGAAAGTGAGAAAGCATTCTTCTGACTTTTATTCTCCCCAAGTGTCAGTGTGTGAGCGGTGGTAGTTAAACTCTTCTCTGTTGTAAAATTTATTGTGGAAATATTGGTAGGTAGGGATTGAGCTGGAGCAAGTGTTAAAGTCTTTTTACATTTTCAGCTGCTCTGCCATAAAACCTTCACTATTTGTTTTATTTAGGTTCCAGTAACATTTGGAAACTTTATTTTAATGAAGTTTCTTTTCCAATATGATTGGAAAATATAGATTCTTTTGACCATTATTTAACATTTTTAACCAAAATTAATGCCTTCTGCCCTTTCCTTTGTCTTCTTACTGACTTCATTACTTGTGGCCTTTTCCTTTAAAGGAAGAGGAAAATAGTGAAACAGAGAGATGAAAAACATAACACAAGGCACCAGACTTACTTCAAAAGAGAATTCAGTTTGTTTGGTGTTAGAGGTTTGGGAGGGATTTGTTTTTGTTTGATGGAGTGGTGTTTCGAAGAAATCCCCGCCAAAAGGCAAGACTTCTTTCTCACACACAAATGCAAAAAACACAACCCTTTCTTCATTTGTTTTGACAAGTGCAATTTAATTTGTTCTTTGGCATTGTATGAAAATTAATTAGCTTAATTTTGAAATATATTGGTTGGTATCTGGACTCCTTTAAACTCTCAAAGGGCAATCTTGTTTGGGTTCTCATTGAGGAGGATTTCCTGCTGTAGGGATAGCCTTCTCCCAGTGTTCAGCCTCACCATCTGCTGGATCTGGGGGGGGGGAAGCTCTATACCTTTTACGGCACCCTGCTGACCTGCTCCTCATTTGTCTGCCAGCAGGAGTCCTCTGGGAAAGCCCCCAGACATCTTCTCCGTAAAAAGCAATAGTAATTCAGGGACACACACAATATTTCTAGCTCTCTGCAGCTATCTGAGCCTCTCTGAGATCCATGACAGTCTTGAGGGTGTTTGCATGTGCCCATCTGTAGAAAATAACATACCACAATGGAAGTGATTTCTCCTAAATTTTAGCAATATGGTAAAGAGAAATCTTATGGAAGAAAATTCTAAAATCATAATGTCTGATATCTGAAGAAGTTGGTAGAAACTATCCTTCCTTCCTCCAACAAATAAAATGCCTGATTCCAAATGAGACTTAAGAAACAGAAATTATTTATGTTGTGCTATTGTTTTGTAATTGAGTTTGTAAGTTAATAAAAGGCAAAGACTAATGCTACTGCACATCATAGATATTACAATGTTTGCATCAAATTCTGCTTGATTTTTATGCAAATGTTGACATGTAGGGGAATACTGGGGAAAAGAACATTTCAATTTATTACCCCTGGTGACTGATGAAAAGCACCCACCCCCGTTGCTAGTCCCTCTCTTTTATAGTAGTGTTTTTATTTAGTAATCAATAAAATTTAATCTTCAAAAATTGTTTTGGAATGGAGGATGGGGAGGAGATGACTAGTTGTGAAGGAGATATTGGGACAGGCATGGTAGAATGGGGTACAGTATGATACAAGAAAAGAGGCTGTATCTTTTATGCCAGTTTTGGTGTTACAATCTTATGTCTGCATGTCAGCAGACTTCATATTTACTTGTGATTCAGTTGTCAAAGCCAAAAGTCCCCAGGACATAAAGATCAGGATGTGGCATTTAAAAAGAACTTTTCTTTCCAGAAGGGACTGTGTGTGGCTATGAAATGTAATTACCTAATGCATACCTTTCTGCCTACTGAACCACTTTTTAAAGACACAGATATTAATGTGGCAATTATGAAAAGCCTTGGGAAAGTGTTTTTTAGTTTTTTTTTTTTCTTTTCTTTTTTTTTTTTTTAAATCCAAAAGCTCTGAGGGATATAGCGTTGAGGAGCCTGGAAGTAGTTATAGAAACAAGGAGTTAGGGATGCTGTCAAGGGTTAAGGGATTTCTCAAAAATAATGTCTTTACTAATGAAGTGTTGTTGAAGGACAATGGCCACCTTTTTTCATGTTTTGAAAAACTTTTGTTTGTTTCAACTCTTTTAAAACTCTTGAGAGCTTTTCTTGTCCTGTGAACATATTATAAACATCTCAACACCATCTGGATCTATGAATGAAACAATGAGTACAGCTCAGTGTTGTTTGACTTGGTCCCAGTTTTCCATTGCTATATGTTTTTGTCATTAGTATTTGGGGCCTATCGTTTTTCTATAAACAGGAAATGCCTAAAAAGGCATATTTTTCAAATATGCATCATCTATTGTATACTAAAGAAGATATAATTTCTCCCCAAATTATTTCTACAGTGACATTTAATTATTCATATTGAGTTTGTTTCCTCTTTAAAATGTGAAAGGGAGTAATTTAGCGATAATAATCAAAATTGCAAGTTCATTTGCCCTTTGAGCCAGCAATTCCACTTCTAAGAATTTCTGCAGACATTTTAACATACATAGAAAACATCATATGGACATGGTTATTCGTTGTACCATTATTTGCAATAGCAAAAGACTAAACATCAAAAGTGTCTACAAAAGGGGTCTGGCTAAGCAAATATGATATATGCATGCAGTGGAGTACTAGGTTGCTAAAAGGAAATAAAGGTATGAGGAAGCTCTGTAAATACTGATATAGAATGACCTTCAATGTGTTTGGGTGTTTTTTTTTTTGAGAAGGGGATCTCAGTTTTACTCAGGCTGATCTCAAACTCCTGGGCTCAAGCAGTCCTACCACCTCAGACATTCAAGTAGCTGAGACTACAGGCGTAAGCCACCATGCCCAGCTGAGTATGTATTGTTGAGTACAAAAAGCAAGGGATAGAACATGACATGAAGTTCCTTTTGGGCAAGGGATGAAATAAGAGTATATGTTCATGTTTGCCTGTATTTGCATAACAGAACACTGGAAAGGATACTTAAGACATTAACTACAGTGGGTAGCTTATAGGGGCAAGAGAAATGGGGGTAGTGGAGGAGGAATATCAGACGTAAATGTGGGGAAAATATGAAGACTTTATAAATTTTATACATTTTGATGATGCATATATGGTTATTTATATTAATCCAGATACGTTTATATGTGTTTAAAATGTTTCATAAGCTAGGCATGGGGGTACATGCTATAGTCCTGGCTACTCAGGAGGCTGAGGTGGGAGGACTGTTTGAACGCAGGAATTCAAGGCTGCAGTAAGCAATGATCATGCCACTGCACTTCAG